GAGAGGTTTTTGCTATAGGGCACGTGCGCTCGCCAGACAGAGAGACAGAGAGACAGAAAGCGAAAAATCACCCCCCAGGGGGGATGGCCACGCCACAATCCCTTCTCCTCCAGTCTCCTCTCGGGATCTTGGGTACGCACGCACACGCGCCCAGCGTGAGTTTTAAGCCACCGGGTCCGGGATGCGAACCGCGTCCGACTACATGGGAGTCCAGCGACATAGCCATTACGCTAACTGCTGGTCCCCCCAGTGTGTTTTTCAAGTTGCTGGAGCCAGGACTAGAACTATGGTTGGCCGTGTGGGATTCAGCTTCCTACATGCTTAAGCACTATGTTATGGGGCTGACTCTGCTTGAAGGGTTTTCCTTTTTTTTTTTTTAAGAGATTTTTTGCTATAAGGTACATGTCCTCGTCAGGGAGACAGAGAGACAGGAAAGTGGGAAATCACCCCCTGCACACCTCCCCAGGGGAGATAACCACACCACAATCCCTTCTCCATTCTCTTCTCGGGATCTTGGGCTCCCGAGAGGAGAATGGTGGAGAAGGGAAAGTTACTCCTAGTTCAAAAGACTGCATACTCCAAATCCAAATGCTTTACAAGCTACTTCAGTTCTGTTTCTTGTCAAATCATTAAGGGGGGGAGGGGAAGGCTTCTAGATTTGTAATTATGTTCATTGCATTAAACAAGATAAATTATATACTGAAGTGGTATTTCCAATTTTGTAGATTTTTAAAAATTTTACCAGAGGGTGCATGCACAGTGAGACACAGAGAGAGGGAGAGGGAGAGAGGCATGGCCACACTGCAATCCCTTCTCTCCATTTCTCCATCCTGTTGGGATTTAGGGCATGCACCTACATGTGCCCAGTGTGCTTTTCAACTGTGGTCAGCCCTGTGAGAGCCGGCTCCCATCACCACTGAAGCTATAGGGCTAGCAATGTGAGCTCTTACCACAGGGGGAGACTGAGGTGGGCTTAGGGGATGGAAGAATTCACTTAAAACTGGGCATGCTCAATGACAGTCCTGAAAACCACTCAGTGGAACTTGAATACCTCTAGATAAGAGTGGACAGCCTCTAATATGTTATTTTTTTTTAAGTTTTGTTTTTTTTTTCCCATATGGTGCATGTGCTTGCTGGAGAGAGAAAGCAACAGAGAGATAGAAAGTGAGAAATCACCCCTGGGGGATGACCATGCCACAATCCCTTCTCCTCCATTCTCCTCTTAGGATTTTGGGCATGAATGCACATATGCCTGGTGTGAATTTCAAGCTGCTAGGTACAGGACTCGAACTGAGGTCGGCCATGTGAGAGTCCAGTGATGTAACCGTTACACCATCTGCTGGGCCCAACATGAAGTTTTTTATTGTATATGAAATTCAGAAACAAAATAGTTTCAGATCTCAAGCAAATGGTGCTTACTAGAAAGAACCAAAGGAATGTTTTTTACTCATTTAACTAGGTTGTATTCTTTCATGAAACACTCTAGGTATCCCAGTGGGACTCTGAAATCCATTCACCATAAAACAGATGATATAATAAATTTCATTCTATGTGCATGCTTTCCATCCTAGTTCAAAATGCAGTTGACTTGAATGCAACTATAGCAAATATATCTAAAGAAAAATAACCACCAAAGAAATACTAATTTTACACTTCACTTATTAAGATGCTATATTGAGGAGTGAAGGCATCATACACCCCAAAAAGCCAGTATCTAGATGGTATATAAAAATTTCAAATTTGGGGGCCAGCAGATGGCATAGCAGTTATGTCTCTGGACTCCCACATGGCTAATCATGGTTCAAGTCCTGGACCCGGTGGGTTGAAACTCACTCTGGGTGCATGTACGTGTGTGACTGAGATCCTAGGAGGAGAATGGAGGAGAAGGGATTGTGCATGGTCATTTCCTTGGGGGGGGGGATTTCTCACTTTCTATCTCACTGTGTCTGTCTGTCTCTCTCTCTCTGGGGAGCACATGTGTCCTAAGGCAAAAACCTCTTTACATTTCTTTTTTTCAAATTTGAAATAGTAGTAGGAAGGGATACCCACCTTAGCTTTATTTTTGAAGATGGACCCAGGTAATTTGTCATAATGGAGGTGAGTTGCCAAAATCCTTGGTGACGGGAATTGCTTCATTCTCTTAAAAATATACACAACAAGGTGAAAGAGTG